TGGGGAAGGGGACCTCTTTAGTAGTTTTTTTGGAGCGTCGTCCTGCTTCAACTTAGCAGCTGTTAGAGTGGGCAACGTGATGCCCTGGCTGTTTGAGGAAAATGCGGGGTGAGCAACGGGGAGGAAAGGAGAAAGAGGTAGAAGGCTAGAAGATGAAGTGCTAGTTTGGGGGTCTAGCCCCTATCACGCACCAGCTCCTGGAGGAAGCATACACCGCGCAGACGGGCAGGCAAACAGGATCGCTTTTATCAGCGTTAGTTTTGTTTACTTGTTGTACAACGTTGTGGGGCAATAATACCCAGCCAACAGGATGGGGAAGGAAATTTAAAGACACGCACCCTCAAAACAAAGCAGATTCACATTCATTCTTTTTTTCCCCTTCAATGTTCTTTTCCTCTCTAACTCCCTTTCTTTCTATATCTCCCGCTCTTTTTCCACTCTCTTCTTCCCTCTCCGCGAAGTATGTGGGAGAAAAGATGGTGAACCCAAATATGAGGCAGACAAACGGACACAACCTCTCAATGTGTATTGAGAGAACCCAAGCCTCTGAGCTCCGAGGGGGGAGGGCCCTGCCTACAGAGTGAAAGGGATGAGGAGCATTTTTGCTCCCTGCACAATATTAGTGAAACCTGCAAGAAAAAAAATACAATAAACTATTTCATTACAGTGTAGTATGGGGGGTGTCTTCCTTCTAGATTTGTGTAAAAAGAGATCTTTTTCTGAACAAAAGAGAAAGGGTACAGTTGGAAGAATGGGTTTAAGAAGAAAAAAAAAAAAAACCCTAGCTGCTTCTAAGGGTTCTCAAATCTGTTGCCCTCTAAGAATAGTTTTGCTTAAAAACTAATAAATTACCTTCCCATTTACTGAGATGTTCTAAAATAAAGGAGATAAGTGCCTATGAACACGTATGAATATGAAAAACACCAGTTCATTTACATCACAAGGGTAGTCAGATACAGAACCATTCTCTCCCTCACCCTCCCCAAACTGTTTTCATTTATTTTTCTGTTGTAAGGAGAGGACCATCTCAGAGTTCATATGATAGCAAGAGGATGTTTTTCATCCCTGGTCTTCCTGAAGAGTTGTCCCAAGCCTGGCTCCCCCTTTATGTTGAAGCATTTGCTGTGACTTTGTTATTGTTACTGCTGATGAAGGGATGAAGGAATTAAACAGAAGATGCTTCGAGGCATTTAGGAAGATGCTTGGGCAGCTATATTAACTCCTTATTATGCCTAAAAATAGTCTGCTGCTTCCTGTTGATACTCGTTTCCTACCACTCTAGGGCTGCATTTATCCTCCAGTGGTCAGGGGGTCCTGTTTTCCAAAGACAGGCTTGATTAAAACTCACTTCTAACACCCTTTTCCTTCCACTTTGCCCTGATATATTTCCCAGCAAGGGGGCTCAGCCTTGGTGTAGCCTCCAGATTAAAAACATTAGCATTTATCTTGATTTAATCTAAGTGTTTAAACATTGTGATGTTCTTTTTTTCCCTGGGCTTGGAGAAAGTAGACTGTTTATGTATTAGAGAGTAAGGTCTTATGCTTGCTAAAAAAGAAAGAGAGAGGAAACCAGGGGAAACAGGCAGACAGACTTCATATGCAATCCCAAAATTAGAGAAGGTAGACACATGTGCTGTTTTTTCCCTGAATCAATTCTGGGCCCAATATATTTGGTCTCTCTATTAAGAAAGCCTTGAATGCTCACCATCCTGAGAGTGGAGTCAGGTAGGAGCCAAATGGTGTTGATTTGAGGACCCGGTTGGCTTCATTCTCACAACTCCACTGGACTCTAGGTTTAAAAAATGCCTGGAGCAGAAGAAGCCTCTAGATTGGGGCATGCATACTTAATATTCTCCAAATTGGACAGTCTTGAAAAACTCTGTGAAGTCCTCTGGGAGTGAGGGACAAATGCTATGTTGGAGTTTCCTAGCTTCCTGTTCTTGGGACCAAGGACTAGAGAGATGAGTGAAATGTCCCCAAACTTCAGTGAGGCTCTTTCTGGGCATTGAGTAATTAGCCTGCTTCTTAGCTGGATTTAGGGGAACCTGGGAGAGGAGGATGTTAATATGGACATTATTACAGCTTTAACACTAGAGAAAATAACACCAAACTCTCAGTGTTTTCTTGCATAGTCTGATACTTTTGGCTACTCCTGAAGATACCATCACTGGCCTGGGCTAAGAAAGGGAAACATGCATCTCCCATGTGCCCCGGAGCTTTCACAGGTGTTTGTGTGTGTGTTGGGGGAGGGGAAAAAGGTGTTCTGGTTTTCAGGATATCAGACACTCTTTCCTGACACACGTGCACAAACAGAATTTTACAGTACATTGAATGAGGAAAAGACTAGCAGGAATTTTTTTTTTTTTCCACCAATGTCTCCCATTGAGAAGGGGGTTCACTGGAACAGAGTGAAGGGATTTTATCCACAATCCCATGGCTGTGTAAATCAATACCGGGTTATTTCTTTGAATTCAAAGGCTATTTATCCAGGTCTAATTTCTTTAGAATTAACGTGATAACTGAGCCCAACTTAGCAACCAAACCCAGCCGGGCCCTGCCTGGCTTGAATGTACTTCTACAGCCAGAGGAGGCTGCAAAACCACCTTGGACACCCAGAGCATGCATTCTCAGGCCTACATGAGTGTGCAAACACCAGTCCAGACCCGAAATAGCCTGGGATTCTCCAACTCTAAGGGCCCATTCTTCCAACAGTGGCCTTCGTTGGACCCAGGAGGTCTCGTGTTGGCAATATGCAAGTATTTCTCTCTAAATAACATTGGCACCTGCAATACAAGTTCCAACACCTCAACGCCTTAAAAAGCAAAAACCACTTTAGGCCTCAAATCCTGCCTCTTAAAACTTCTTAGTGAATGTGACCCTCACCTGCTACAAGCCCTAAAAGAGCCTTAGGCCTCGGACTCCAGATTGCCGAGTTTACTTTTATTTTGAATGATAAAGGCTTTACCGGTCTTGCCTGCCCTCCTCCTCCCACCCGCAAAGGTTGGTCCGGGTTCCCCTGAGGGCAAGACAAAGAAGTCGGAGCCGGGACTCCGCTGGCGCCGAACTCGGCGCCGGAGCCTGGAGCCCCTGAGGTGTGCGCCTTCCAGCAAGGCCCTGGAGGACCCGAGTTTTTACCTCTTGCAGGAGGGCTAGAGATGCGGGCTGGACTAGGGTAAACTAAGGGTGACTCCAATCACCTCGCTTCGGCTCTTTACCGCCACCGAAGAAACTGAGGGGTGGACTGGGAAGGTGATCAGCCTAGTTAAATTGGTGAGAAATGACCGCCTGGAGCGGCCCCCGCCGCAAACTGCCTCTGCGCCGCGAACTCCACGAGCAATCCTGGTGGCAGAGGCCACACGTGGCAGCCACTCGCGGCGCGCCACCCTGGCGCGTTGTGTGGGGCCACACTAGCTCTAGCTCTCTATTTTCAGGACTGGCAGGAAAGTCGGATGGTCAGGCCCGCATTGTAGTTTCTATCCCGCAAGCGCACACAGAGACCGCTATCAAGCCAGGAGGAACCCCTGGATGGCTCCACGCCCCAGCCCCTGCCTCTCTCTCTCTCTTTCTCTCTGAGACTCAGCAGGTCTCAGCAGAACCTTTAACACCCGCAACAACTGCCACCTCGGTGCAGCTGTACACTGGAAAAGAGTGAAGGGATTCTATCCACTACATAATGGGGGAGGGTTGAGAGCCCCGAAGCTACAACTCAAGACAATCCCAGCCCTCTCGGCTTCCTCAGGCACCATACAAACAGGAAAAAAAAAAAAAAAAAAACCCTTTGCAAATAGAGGCTGCTACAACCTGCATCTCGTGCTCAAGTGCAGGGACCTTCCCTGGCCCGCCACGGCCCACCTTGCTCCGGGTGCGGCCAGAGTTGCGGGAAGCTGGCTAGGAAACCAGTGCACCTGCGAGCATAAAGGGAGAAACACAGACAAGCACAGGGGGCGAAACGCCTTCACCGTGTTAACAGCGAGCTGCAGGGTATAAAGCAATAAAACTGCCACGTCTACCTGCTGGCTTCGAGGACAATACGAACAGCCTCGGCGCGCAGCCCGGGTGCACCGAGAGCGCGCTAGGGTGCTGGGGAGGGAAGGGTGGGGAATCTTCTCTCTTTTCCTGATCTCCCCTTCTGTCCCCCCCCCACTTCCCCCTTACCCAGCCCACCTTTCATTTTTCTTGAAGCTTTTTTGTTGTTTTAATTCACTGCTGATTTGTAAACGCGTGGATCGGGTTACTGGTTCGCGTGTTAAAATGCATCTCTTGTTAAAAGGAGGGGAACAAGGCACGCTGCTTAAAAATGAATTCAGAGTTACTGAACCGGCTCCCCAGACTCAAGAAGTTAAGCGCAGCGGGCTGGGAAGAGGAGGGGGAGAGGGGAGCAAACGCCGCTGACCTGGGAACTCTGGAGAAAACCTGCGGGCTGCGAGGTTCAGGTCTTCTGATAAATAAAAGGATGGAAGGAAAGAAAGAAAGAAAAAGAAAAAGACAAACTGGCCTGGCGATGCCCGAAGACCCCCGGCTGGGAGCTGGGAAAATCAATTAGCATAAGCCGCTGGCGGCGAGCTTCCCGCAAAGTGTAGATTCGGAGCAGCTACGTCTGCAGCCGCCCTTTTCTGTATTTACAGGGGCAAGCAGCACTATTTCTCCATTTCTGGGCTTCCTTGGGTCCCATAACTTATGATGTCGAGGCGAAGTAGGGTGCAAAGAAGTCGCCGGCAGTTTTCGCAAAGGGAGACAGACTCATCCCCTCAACCTCCGACAGGGCGACACAGGGTTGTTAGATTGTACATTTCTCCGTGTGGCCAAAGGCTTGCAGCTTAGGTCTCTGCGCAGACCGAAAGTCGGTGCGCAGACACAAGGGGTCTGCAGGTCTCGCCCACCCAGTCTCAGTCCGCTGGCAGCACGGGCTCCCGGCGCCTTCCCGCAATCCCCGGACCCAGTGTCTCGGCGCGGCCCGGCCTGCCCTCCTCCGAGCCTGGTCCTGTGTCCGGCCCTCCTAC